GTTCATAATGAGAAGAACTTGTTCAACCTTTTGTATGACTCTATCACAGAAGAAGATAGATCAACATCAACTTTTTTAGAGAAAGTTCATAATGAGAAGAATTTATCTGAAAAGGAAGAAGAAGTTCATAATGAGAAGAACTTGTTCAACCTTTTGTATGACTCTATCACAGAAGGAGATAAATCAGTATCAACATTTCCAGAAGTGTTCATAATAAGAAAAACTCATTTGAAGAAGGAGAAGAAGTTCATAATGAGAAGAATTTGTTCAACCTTGCCTTAATTCATCACATATTGAAGTTGAATTAACAACCCCTCTTTTAAAGATCAATTCTAGAAGGAGTTCATAATGAGAAGAACTCATCTGAAAAAGAAGAAGAAGTTCATAATGAGAAGAATTTGCTCAACTTTTTTCTAGATTACATCACATAAGGAGATAAATTGCCATCCTCAATGGAAAAGTTCATAATAAGAAGAACTAGTCCCAAAGAAGAAGAACTTGTTCAACATTTGCATCCTAATCAAGAGAAGTCAAATGAAAAAAAAATTATTGTCTTTTCGTCTTTGCCCTATTCTTGTTAACACAAGAATGGACAAAGAGGGGCAGCTGTAGACACTAAATTTTTATATCATTTTTATTAGTATTATTATTTTTATTATTATTAATATTATTATTAATAATATAATTATTATTATGTTATATTATTATTATTATTAAATAATAAATAATTTTATTTCAGGCCTAAAACCTGACCGGCCTAGTGGCCCAACTCGAATCAACCCAAGACTCGGAGGCCCATTTTACAACTGGAATTGGCCCAACCAAACCCTAAAGCCATATTAGGGTTTCCATCATCTCAGCCAACCGCCTTCGCTTGCTGTCATGGGATCTAGTCTTGATCCAACGGCCCAGATGGTACCAACAGCAAACCCTAGGGTTATGATACCCTAGGGACCACGCGGCGTTGCCTCCACGTCTGCACTCCACTGCCGACTCAAACGTTGCTGCCACGACGCCTGTCGAAGCTCCCAGAAGAGTCATTCCAGCCGTCCACGCGTCCCATTCTTCGGTGAGTCACCACAGGTTTGGTGACTCACCAAAACTCATCTCTGGGACTGGTTCGAGAGCATCCTCGGTGGTGGCTATAAAAGCCACCACACCTGTGAAACCAAAAAACATCGACATCAACCTACACCAACAAAAAAAAACTGAGAGCAAGCACCCACAAAGACAAACAACAACCAAAACAAACAATCAGCAAAGGAGAAAAGAAAACGAGACTTACTATAAAAACTACACGATCGTCAGAGCTTCCCCTCGGCGTTCAAAACTGAAACATCTAAGGTAAATAACCTTAGATCTACGTCGAATAAAGGGGATTAAGGGAAAAAGAAGGTGGATTTGGCCTTTAGAGGTTGAGATCTCTATTTTAGATAAATTTGGGGCTTTTCGGCCACCAGAGTTGGTGGCCGGCGGCAGTGTTTGCGACGGCCTAAGGCGGCCGGTCGTCGACCGGTTTCCCTCCGGCGAGGGAAACTTAGAGAGAAGGCAGAGAGATTTATATATATCTCTCTAAAGAGAAAAAGGGAAAAAGAAATGAAAGGCTTAGAGCCTTTCTCTACCAGTTAAAGGGTTTATATACACTCTCCCAAACGACGCCGTTTTGGAGGAGGGTATCTGTGTAATTTCATAATGGTAAAACCCTTTCCGCAGCCCTTCTGATTTTGTAATCTTTATAAAATAGTAACTACAAGTTATTTTTATTTATTTTAATTTGGTATTCGAATTTTAATATATTATGTTTTGGTCCTTTCCAGTATAATTATATATTTTAGGGTAAATATCTATTTAGTCCCTTTAATTTAATTAACTTTTATTTTAATTCTGAATAAATTAATATTGGTTAAATCACACTGTTAATACTTAGATTTTTGTGATAATTCGAAATTAGGCTCTTAATTGTTAATATTTTATATTTTAATACTATAATTTTAATTTTATTTATTTCAGTCACTGTTTAATTATTATTTAATTTTATATGTTTATTTTTAATATATTTTTTATTATTATTTAGTCATATAAATATATATAATAAATAATATTTATTTATTTTTAAAAAAATCCTATTTATAAATTTAATTTTATATAAATTACTTTTAGGAAAAATAATCATATTTTAATATTTATTTACTTTTTAATATTAAGAAATGGGCTGTCTTAAAGCACCTAGAAGTCATTTTCTGATATTCTTAAATATATAAATATTCTATTTATATAAATTATATATTAATTTATTTTAATTATTTTTAGAAAAATATTTTATTAATATTTATTTATTTTTAAATATTAAGAAATGGGTTGTCTTAAAGCACCTATAAGTCATTTTCTGATATTTCTAAGTAAATAAATATCTTATTTAAATATAAAAAATATATACATAAATTAATATATTTTAAAATAATTGGATTACGAATTAAATATATTTTTTAATTCTTAAATTTCCAATAATAGAGATAATTTATAATTAATGAGTACTAATTTTGGGCGTTTTAGGGGTGCTAATTCTTCCCTAAACGTAACCGACCACGAATCCTTTTTTTAAATAATTTTTGGTTAAACGCATACCAGTTTATCTTTTAACTGATGTTTTCTTAAAAACTCTTTTAAAAGATGATTTTTAGGTATTCGACCTACCTAACCCAAAAAGGTCGATGGCGACTACCAAAATATTTCAATAAAATTCATTTACCACATTATTTTTCCCGCCAAGAAAAAATTTCGTGTCCGTGCAAAAACCGGCTACGACAACCACAACAAAGTAGTACTTTAGCGGTATTTTTTACATATATAGTGGCGTTTTTAAGTGCCACTAAAAACTTTATATGCGTATGTAAAAACGTCGCAAAAAGCACCGCTAAAACTAACGCCGCAAAAGGTAGCGGCGTTTATGAACAGAAAACGCCGCAAAAGGTCCAGCTCTAAAACAGCGTTTTTCTTAGAAACACCGCAATAGGTCAAGCTCTATAGTGGTGTTTTTAAGAAAAATGCCGCAAAATATCAAGATCTATAGCGGCGTTTTTCTAAAAACGTCGTAAATTATCTTGTTTTTAGTGGCGTTTGTTTTTTAAAACGCCGCTACATGTTATGTTATTTAGCGGCGTTTGTGGTAAAAACGCCACTAATAACTATGTATATAGTGTCATTTTCTTCACAAAACGCCGCAAAAGAACCTGACTGATATCGCATATATCATTTTCTATTTTATATTACGCAAATTGAATATTCTATAGCATTATCTAATAACAATAAACTTAAAATTTAATTACGACACATTATGTAGAAAAATAAATCAAAATTTATAAAATAAAATTAAAATGTAACATAGTTCAACATTGTTCACTAGAATATCATTGAAAGCTCAACTGAGAAAGAAAGAAGGAAAAGAGGCATGTTTTGTTCTTGGAACTGCCGCAAATTACTCTCTGCCTCAGTCCGGACTTTTGTATCCACTGATTGGGCAGCTAGCAGAAATTGAGTGATCTCCATAGCCATTTTAACTAACCTGCAATTTGAAACAAAAAGCACTAATCATCATTGGTGAATAGGACACAAATACATCACTAGAGATTGCAGCCAGTTATAATTGAACAATATCAAACAATCATAGATAGTAATAATCATGGTTGGAGCCTTGGAGAAGATGTTGAAGGAACGAACTTATCAAAACCACACAAGTTATCCGGCAAACATAAATCAACATTTACCAAGCTTAATAGAGTAGAATATCATTGCCAATGATAGGTCAACAGTGACAAATATGCTAAAACAGTGAAATCATACTTTCCACTAAAAGAAATTAAATCCCTATACTTAAATAAGAATATTAAAATTTCAAGTGCATGCAGTAATTTCTTTGTTCAATTTCTTAATCGCTATCCCTATCAATGATATTGTCATATTATTTGATTTTGAAGTTCAACCTAAACGAAGAAATAATAGCATTACAATTTAATGTTTCTAGGGTCTATCTTACAATTACATAAACCCAAAAGTTCTTCAAACCCCCTTCGCACAATCACAGAAATCAAACAGTTATTGCTAAAAAAAAGGGGAAGACCTTAGAACATAACATAAAACCTTTAATCTTATTCCTTTACTAATCGAAGAATCAACCAAACAGAACAAAAGAACACACGTGAGTGACGATAATCAAACAAAAAGAACAAGCAAACAGAGAACAGGATATATGAAAAAGATTGTGGAGGCTGGAACAATGATAATGATTAGTTAATATCAAAGGATTGAACAAAAAAATCACATAAGAGAATTCAAACAAAAAATCACCTCCAACCCATACCTCCCGGAGAACAGGAAACTGGAAGTTCCTAGCAAGTTCCAATCCTTTGCAAACATCGTAAAAATCAGAAAGGCTATTAGCCTGCATCATAGACATTAATTATATTTTCACCAAACCAACCACAACTACTAACCAAATAACAATTTAATTCAATAACCAGAAAAGCTAAATACTCGACACAATTGTAACTATTAAGAAATTATATCTTCACCTGCTGACCAGCTCGCTTGTATACATCAAGTGCTTGGACAGCTTCATGTCTAGGCATCTCAAAAAACTGCAATGAAATCAGAAATCAAGCTATTGTGAAAAGGGGGAGAAAATAATTAAAAAAAGTATCAACCTGAAACCAGGAATAGACATCTAAAATTGATGATTTAAAGCAAAACTATCGACAATATTTCAGCCACATTCAACCAAACTCTAGCTCTTCCTAAATATTTCCTTTCACAGGGCTATTGTGTACTTAGAACCATCATCTAATCGCCTTTCAAACATCATGATCATTTCTAACCAGATTATGCGTAATGCATTAATTTATCCAGTTTAACACACTATCTATCCGTGCATTTCTTAATAACAATGTAAAGTATTTTTCACTCTGGCATTAAACAAAGTGTTAAAATAACAACTTACCTCTTTTAACAAATAGATTTTTCTTTGCCATCTCTATGTGCAAAAGGGACTTTGACTCGGCATCAAAAACCATTTCCTAGCACACATCCGAATCAAACCCAATCACTGCTTTGAAAAAGAGTGAGATACCTCAGATTAGTAAAATAAAAAATGCCAATTAAATAAATCTATAATACTTGAAGGGCATCCTTAGCAGCAACTGCAAATCTCCCTTGTAGTTCACTTGCGAAGCTTCATAACCTGGAAGCCATCTCAGTAAATTCTGCAACTCTCTCTCTTTGACATCTTCAGGAAGACCCGTAATGAAGATAGTCCGAACCTAAATCCAGCACAAATTAATTACAATATCCAAGGAAAGTTCAACGACCTTGCTTTAATAATTCAGCTTTTTAAATCTTCTTTGCTAAAAACGACGTAACTAAATTGTCGTAATTTACATTCAAATAATGAAATATATGCAGTCAGTTATTAAATTAATTTAACTGATTCTCAAGTGCAAAATGAAATTCGAATATCTATATAAATTATCTATAAACAAATACTTTCATGGAGCGAATCAATGGATTACACAATGCTATGCTGAAGAAAATAAAGCGAAACTAATTTTTTTTTCAAAGCTGAAAACCAAAACACAACAAAATCCCACTGAATTACATGAAAAAAAACCATAGATTTGAAACTAAAACAGATGAAAAAGGAACAGACGAACTTGAAGTGGAGATTGATATACCTCAAACAAGTCTCCGATGAAGCAGGGAGGCTTCGAAATAAACACACAGTCTGGGCAGAGAGAACTTAGGGTTTTTTATCTCTCACACACACGAAAACACTCTTCCCAGTGTTTTCTTATGATGTTTTCCTTCCGATGCCAAAGCCAAACAAAGAATTGAAAAAAAATGAAACAAAATGAAACGAAGGAGAGAGGAGGAATCGGCGAAGAAATGACTATGGATTTTTGAAGATATGGGATTTGATGATTTCAGGTATTTCTTACCTGGATTAAGCTCACCGGATGATCCAAGCTCCGATCTGACATCGGGAAAGTTGGGTCTTTGAGAAGAGAGAACTAAAGCTAGAGTGGCTTTGAGTTGATATGGGATAGTGGGTATGTACTCTAGAATCTTCTCCACCATTTTATTGACATCGGATTCCAACTCCTCCAAATCTTCTTCGGAGTCGAGCTCCGGTTCAGCTTGTCGATTGTCAATGCCAATCTAAAGGGATTTGTGTTTGTTGTTTAGAGTCATGGAGTAAAAGGGGAATATTTGAATTTTTTTTTCACTTTTGGGAGGAGATTAGGGTTTTGAAATTAGCGGTCGAAGAGATTTCCTAGGCGTTTTAAAAAATGAAAAAGGGTTAAAGGGGAAACTGTAAATTTGTAAAGTAGGAGTCGTTCGCGGCGTTTATAAACAAAAACGCCACTAAAGTACGAATTTTTAACGGCGTTTTTATAAAAACGTCACTAAAATACAAGTTTATAGCGGCATTTATATAAAAACCTCACTAAAATAAGAGTCTATAGCGGCATTTGTATAAAACCCACTAAAGTAAGAGTCTATAGCAGCGTTTATAAAACAACGCCACTATAGATGAAGTCTATAGCGGCGTTTGTAAAAAATGCCGCTAAAGTATTACTCTATTGCGGCGTTTGTATAAAAACGCCACTAAAGTAATAGTCTATAGCGGTGTTTGCAAACGCCGCTAAAGTACTACTCTATTGCGGCGTTTTTATTCTTATAATATTTTAAAATTAAGATAAAAATAAAATATATTTTTAAATTAAAATAAGAATAAAATATATATTTTAAGTTAAAATAACAATAAACAATACTTAATAATTTAAGGTAAGAATAGAATATATTTAATAATTTAAATTAATAATATAATATATGTAATAAGTTAAGATAAAAATAAAATATATTTTTAAAAGTTAAGATAAAAATAAAATATATATTTTTAAGTTAAGATAAGATTAAAATATATTTTTAGTTAAGATAAAAATAAAACACATTTTTTTAGTTAAGATAAGAATAAAATATATTTAATAAGTTAATATAAAAATAAAATATATTTTAAAATAATTTAAAAATGGTAGTCAAAATGAAAAGAGATAATAGTTAGGTGGATAATGGTATAATTTACCCTATATAATAATAAGAAAATTGCATAATTTTTTCTAACTTTTATTAAAATTACACTATTTAAATTGTTATACTTTTATAATATTTATGTAAATAATTAAATTATTTTAGGCTATAAATAATTGGTTCAATAATTGAGTGAGTAGACCAGCAATAACTGAGTGTGCAGTGCGCAAGAACTTGGCAGGTAAATATTTCCACGTTTGTTGGTCCTACGAATTAATTGGAAACAGTAAAAAGGACTTAATATACAGTAAACTCAGAGCAGTTTCCAATCTTTTTCCATAGAAAACTTTTATTAGAGACCTCAACCAGTTCCAAGTTTCGGTGGAGCCTTTTTTTTGAAATTATTATGGTTTTTTTTTACATTATTATTTTTTAAATAAATATTATCTTATAATCGTCTTAAAAAAAATTTATTTCGTGAAAAACTTCATTTGTTACTATCTTTTTCCAAATTTGAATAGGACTATTTATGGATAAGTTTTCAATCATTCTTCTTTTGATTTTGTTATCATTTGTTGGTTTTTTTTTGTTATTTTTGCGGTGCAGGTAATAATATAAAATTATATTATTTAAATTATTTACGTTTATGTGTAAAAATTTTATTGTGTTATATTTGCATTCATATATTATTTATTTAATTAGGTTTGTTTCAGTTATTTTTTTGCAGATATAATATTGTCGTACTTTTAAACTCTAAGAATGGCGCGACTTTAAGCTATTATTTATTATGATGGAGAAATTCGAGATGATGAAACCTCCGTTGTTTTCGTATCAAATAAGCGTGTTAAAATAGCATTCAAGAGAAACATAACTCTTGAGGAGTTGATAACGAATATTTCGAGGAAGGTTCATGTTGGAAGTAGTAGAAGAATGTCGTCATTGCAGTACAGATTTCCAACATCATTGTTGCCATTAACTTATACAACGTTCGAACTATTGAATAATGATGATGTTGAAATGATGGTTGATTCTCAAAGTAATTATTCAGATGGCGATATTGAGATGTATGCAAAGTTTGTTCAAGTGCGTGATAGTCGGGGTCAGTCATTAAGCTCCCACTATATGTTGATTAAGTTGACAACCCGACTACAGTAATGTGTAATGATTTTTATGTCATAATGAGAAATCCGCATCATGGTGCCGTCACATCAACTTCAATGGGAGACATTCATCAACAACTCCTTACGATATGTACCGAGGTGGGTCCACGAATAATCCGTATGGCAACATCGCGTCCAGTTCAAGGGGAAGACATTCATCTGTAAATTTCTTTGACCTTAATATAGAGATGCCATCAATGCAACAATCTGTGGAGTTTTCATTTGACACAATGACTTCAAGCTCAAGGGGAAGGCATTCGACTGCGAGTTTTTCGATCTCAATGTCGATATGCCTTCTAGTTCAAGGGAAGGCGTGCAAGTAGTAGGTTCTTCGACCTAAATGTGGAGAGCATGGAGGAACCATCATCTCCACCAGAAAAACCGCTTCGTGAGCCTGGTTCGGATGGCGTTGAGACTGGACTACTATTCATTCACCCATAATCACCACAATTCAACTCTGATGATGATGTAGAAGAAGTTCCCACAAATATGGAACAAATTGACCCTTCAGCACAAATGTATAAAGCTGATTATGGTGCAACGTACGGGTCAGAATTTGCGGATATGCCTCATCTCGGTGACTATGGATGTTACTCATCAATAAATAATGGTGAGTTATCTTTAGGCACGGAGTTTTCAAGCAAGGAAGAAGAGATGATGGCTATAAAAAAATCACAATATCCGTAATTCATTTCAATCCAGAGTTGACCGCTCCACGATAGAAAAATATGTATGTCATTGTGCCCAATGCGAAAACGGATGCAATTGGACGGTTCGCGTATCGAAAAGGAATAGGAAAAATAATAGATATGAACTAACAGTATACAACGGTCCTCACACATGTTGAGCTGGAGGGATCAACCAAGATCATCCCAACTTGGACTCTGAAGTGATCTGCCAAGCCGTCATACCCATGGTTAAAGCAAGCTCCATATAGATGTTGTTGTGTTGATTTTAGCTATACAATTGCAGTATGGGTACACTGTCTCCTATAAAAAAGCTTGGTTGGTAAAACAAAATGTCATTCTCAAACTTCATGGAGAATAGGATGCATCTTACAACGAAATTCTAAGTTGGTTTAGGCTGGTGCAGAGGTTGAATCTTGGGATAATTGTGGACTTCGAAACCTCCTATGCATACCATAATGATCGAGTTCTTCACGATCGATGTCAATTCTACCGGGTTTTTTGGACTTACCTACAGTACGTTAATGCTGTCAAATACTGCAAGCATGTGGTCCAGATCGACGAGACTTTCTTGTATGGAAAATACAAGCAAGTTTTATTATTGGCAGTTGTCCAAGATGGTAATCGCAAGTTTCTTCCAGTTGCTTTTGCTCTTGTTGAAGGAGAATATACATATTCTTGGGCTTTTCTCCTCCGAAACTTACGTTCACATGTTATCATGAGGGAAAAAATATGTGTCATTTCAGATCATGGAACTGAGATCAAAGCAGTAATGGAGTCTTTGGGTCCAATGTGGAAACCACCCTTTGTCCAACATAGGTATTGTATCCGACGCATTGATGCGAACTACCATGGAAGGTACAAGAAGAATGATGAGCATCAATTACTTGTGCGCATGAGTAAGTGAAACTGGTGTAGTTTGTTTTCTTTCGATCATTTTCATTTTGCAAATAAACAAAGTTAGTAAGTTCTACATTTTTTGATCAGGTTACGAACTACTTCCTCAAACATTTGAATCAATGCTTCAAGATTTACGAGCGAAGAACGAGGAAAAATACGATTACATCAGCCTCATCGATAAAGAAATGTGGACAAAAGCATATGATGGTGGATATCGATATGGACACATGACGACCAACTTGGCTGAGGCAATCAATTCTACCTTCAAGGGTGCACGTCACTTACCTGTAGCGGCTTTGGTTAAAACTACATATTTTCGTTTGGGGCACTTTTTACGAAGCTCGGGGGACAAGCTCAAACCTAGATGCAATGCGG